AATCAAATATTATTAAATAGTGGAGATACATGAAATGCAGCAATCTTGAATTTCCTTAATGAAGTTTTTTTAATTAAGATTATGATAGTTAACAACCTTGTGAAATTACAGTTGTACATCATTATTAGTCATGTTGCAGGTACACCACTTCACCCCTATGCCCTCCCCCCACCCCCCCTTTCCCCTGGTAACCACCAATCAGTTCTCTTTGTCCTTATGTTAACTACCACCTATGAGTGGAGTCATACAGAGTTCGTCCTTCTCTGTCTGGCTTATTTCACTCAGCATAATACCCTCAAGGTCTATCCATGTTGTTGTGAATGGGACGATTTTATCCTTTTTTATGGCTGAGTAGTATTCCATTGTATATATATACCATATCTTTTTTATCCATTCATCAGTTGGTGGGCACTTAGGTTGCTTCCACGTCTTGGCTATTGTAAATAATGCTGCAATGAACATAGGGGTGCATGGGACTTTTGGAATTTCTGATTTCAAGTTCTTTGGATAGTTACCCAGTAATGGGATGGCTGGGTCATAAGGTATTTCTATTTTTAATTTTTTGAGAAATCTCCATACTGTTTTCCATAGTGGCTGCACCAGTTTGCATTCCCACCAACAGTGTATGAGGGTTCCTTTTTCTCCATAACCTCTCCAACATTTGTCACTTTTTGTTTTGGATATTTTTGCCATTCTAACAGGTGTAAGGTGATATCTTAGTGTAGTTTTGATTTGCATTTCCCTGATGATTAGTGATGATGAGCATCTTTTCATGTGCCTATTGGCCATCCGTATATCTTCTTTGGAGAAATGTCTGTTCGAAAGTTTACATTTTTTTTAAAAAGGGGAGTCAATTTAAAAATCAGTAACTTTTTATTTCTAATAAGATAAAAATTGATTTCAAACAGATACCAATGTCAAATCCTTTCAATGTTATTTCTAGCTTTTCAAACTACATAGCACAAACATAAAAGTTATCTTACTGAAATTAAACCTTCGTGAGAGTTGGTTTTAACAGACTGGGCTTTTAGTGAGGAGGTTAAAGAATGATGGTTCAGTATACTGATAGAAATAGTTCTGACACCTAGTTTTCCTATGATGCGCTTTAAGTACTAATTAGATATTGTTTGATAAGTAGAAACGATAGTCCCTCCAGAAAATAAAGATGAAAAAGGTCCTAAGAGTGATGTGCAATCCCCAAGCGTGATCTATCTAACTTGTCACTCTCATCCAACGTAAAGTTTCAAGCTGAAAGATGAAAACTCTGCCTCCTTGTTGCCATTTCATCAATATGCGAAGATAGTACCATATGAGTGACGAAGATCCAGATTTCCTCCTTCTAGATAAATTGTCCTAGAGGTTGTAAAATAGCCATTTTTTCAAGGGAATCAGTAAAGCTATATTTATTTTCAATTAAGAAAATGGTCCGTCAACGTTTTTATTTCTCCTGAATTGTCTCCTGAAAAAAATGTATCCCCACAATTGGCCGAAATGGAAGCCTGCAGGAAGCAAGGTCTTGGTTGATCACCCTTTTTTAAAAAGGTGGTGGGTGACATCTGGAGGCAACTGGAAAAAGTGCTGCTTTCAGGAATGAAGTGGGGAGAATGAGAAAGCAGTTCTTTCCATTTAGACAAGATTTTCTTTTTTTGAAGTTTAACCAGGGTAAACTAAAACCTTTAATTTTAAAGTTAGTTGAACGAACCTCAATTCAGTTAAGTAATATTTATTAAGTACATAATACAATGCTACAAGGGAGATAGAGACATAAGACCCATAGTTTCCATCTCATTGAGCTTACAATCTACTCGGGAACGAAAGATAAGTGCTAAAATAACGATAATACTAGAATATGTGAGAAAATTTGGGCATAGC